ATTTCAGACAAATGACTGTCTTCTTAAAAACCTCCAGTAATGAAGCACATACAACTTCTGACATCAAGCTGTTCCACTGGTTAATTGTCCTAACTGTTAGGAAGATTCTCCTTAGTTCCAGGTTGCTTGTGTCCTTGATTAGTTTCTATCCATTGTTTCTTGTCCTTCTCTCTGGTGCTTTGGTAAACAAACTGACCCCCTCCTCTTTGAGGCAACCTCTCAAATACTGGAATACTGCTATCATGTCACCCCTATTCCTTCTTTTCTCCAAACCCAAATCTTGCAACCGTTCTTCATATGTTTTAGTTTCCAGGCCTTTAATCATCTTAGTTGCTTCTTTTAAGAAGAAAAAAAATACAAGAATCATCTATAACATAGAATGTAAGCACTGCAACAACCACTATGTAGAACAGACAGGCAGAAGTCGAGCAGAGTACATCCATGAACATTAACAAATCAAGACATGATGAACATTCCTTAATCTAACAATGATGGACAAACTCAACCATAGTTTTGTCTGGAAACTGTGAGCATCCTAGATCAAGCTAAATTGAATAACATTAGAGAATTCCTGGAAGCTTGGGACTCAGACAAATCAGCCATCAATGGACACATAATAGATAACCTCATTTACACACCATTCAAAAGAGACAATTAAAAAAACCTAAGAAGGAAACAAAAAGCCCAAAACACATCCTCTCCGGAAGCCTACACCCAGATAAGCAGGGATTTATTACCAGGCAAGCAACCAAGCAGAAAACCATACTCCCATCAACACTGACAGGGCAAGTTACTGTATATAAAGAGGGAGCAACTCCACACTTACTAACACTGATATTATCTAGTCTGATAATAAATTGTCTGTAAGCAAACAACCAAGCTCAGAGAGCACCAAGAACTGCACAAGAAAGCAACTGCTTAGAAATAAATGGGAATATAACATATTAAAGATGTTCTTGCTCCCACATATTTTATTGTGAATGCATTGTGTTTATACTTATATACTACCATATATTTAAGAATATATCAAAGGAGCATTGATAGAAATAACCACTGACAGGGAACAGCTGTACTTTAAAAATGTTTGGAATTCTAAATCAGTTCTTTTCCTCATTTCTTCCTGAGCTAATATAAACCTTGTCCTTTCAGTTTGTTTTCTTTTTGTTCTCAGGTCACTTTTTCCAGTTAAATAACTATTCTATTCAGTACATATGCTTCCAAGGAGAACAATGCTCATGTGATTGCATTTGTCGTAGTCACCAGATGACCAATGCTAATATCTTTTTTTTTCCTTGGGAGACTGATACTTTTAATAAATTGTGGCAGATATGCCAGTCATCTAACTTGGCTGCAAATTATTTTTTACAGGAATCTCACTTTTGTTAAGTAAGAGAAACAAGGAGTAAGCTAGATTAAAACAGAGGATAATAAGAAACTATTTTTAAGCTTTAATATTAATATATTGATCAGTTGCACTTATTTTTAATTAAGCAATGCCTAAAGTATGTATGAAAGAAATCTAATAAATAAAATAAATGAATATCCTTAAATTGGTGGGTATAGTCTTACACACAGGTTCTATAAGGAAAATGAAGTATTACTTTATTATGGATTTATTAAGGATTATTTATTTTGTGTTATTTTTCACTGCCAAGGATTGATTGAGACAGCATAAAAATCATTAAAAAAAATCCTATGTGCCATTTCCTATCATTTACCTCTTAATCATTTGCTTCCAAATTGTTGCTGGCTTTTTTTCTTTTATTTAAGTTTTTTTCTTATGACATTATTTTTACACAGGTAAAACAATGATGTACTCTCATGTATCCCATCCTCACTTTCTATATATAAAACTAGCTGTACCCGGCCACGCGTTGCTGTGGCTCAGTCTGGTTAGCGTGTGTTGTTTTTACGTCCAACAGATGGCGCTGTTTTTCAAAAAAGCATGTTTTTACCTGTCATAGGTGTGACATCTATATAATAGTAGGTGTATATAAAAACACACGCGTATTCAAATGCAACGTTGTGTCAAAATTTCAAAGAAATCGGTAAAGAACTTTCGGAGATTTAAGATTTTGAACAAACGAACATTTACATTTTTATTTATATAGATACAGTATATATAAAAATATATTTTGTAGCATGTTGCTTTTTTGAAATATTTGTGATTACTGAAGACTAAACATAAATCACTATGTATGTTAATTTTTTTCATAGTTATTGGAGGTTAAAAATGTTCTTCTCAATTCCTTGGGAAAAAAGTTGGGTACCAGTATGAATTTAGGCAGCTTTTTTATAAAGTTCTCTTTGTAACTATTAATGTTCTATTACAGATAGATTAAGCAATCCATTGGTATATTAAAGCATGGATTATTATTAATAATATAGTTAATATCATTATTACAAATATAAGTTAGATTATTATAACTTTCTACTTGAATTGAGGCATTAACTATTTTATTAATGAAATCATTTTTGTAGAGTTTTTAATTTATTGAAGTTAATAGGTTATACAGTATCTTTTAAAAATAACCTCATTCTACTTTTAGATTCATCCTAATTACAGATTACTTTTATATTCTCTGCTCCTGTTAACAGTTACATCATTATAATTAACTTCTTTCAAATTTTTTTTAGATTAGGATAGGCAATCTTTTGACTGCCAGGTTGAGAATCAGAAGCTGTCCACGTGCACATTTATGCGCTACCTCATTAACATACAAGCATATACATATTCATTCCTTCATCCCCATCCTAAGCAACAAGCAACAGTCTTACTCAGGCTAATTGGTTTATTCATTTTTTCTAGGTGTCATGGATTTTCTATGAAATTTTTCCTGTAGCATTTTCAATACAGAAATGCAGTTAAATATTTGAGTTGAAATTCAGACTTTATCTTGGTCAAACATCAGCACAGAGGTAATTTATTGAATGAATTGCATGGGTAGTGGGCAAATGAAATTCCACAGGAACTTTTAACATTCAGCTTAGTACGTCATCCAAAGATGTTATAATGCAAGTTATTTTTGACTTACTGCACAAACTTAACCATGTATTTTTTCTTGAAATACATCCACATATTATACCATGCCCAGAACACATGATGACAGTTATATGTGAGCACAGAAAGAAAGGGAGACAATTTTAGATTTAATAGGGAAAAAATATAGTTAAAAACAAGGGTGGCATGGAGCGGGCAAAAGGTAAAATTTTCATTATGATATAAACTACTATTTTTCTCTGTGTGTCACAAAATTGCACTCAGGTGGTAGAGGTTGCATTATGATGTTGCAATGGACATTTTGCCAAAATCATGAATTTCTATGAATATAACAGTGAAATTAGGAAACAGAATATCTGCTTATCTTTATATATTATATAAATTAGGTAGTTAATTCTAACATGGACCAATCAATTTGTTTGGCATATTACACACTTAACCAAATAATAGAGTTGGAAGGCCTTGGAGATCTTCTAATCCAACCCTTTGCGCAAAAAGGAAAGCCTATACCATTTCAGACAAATGGTTGTCCAATCTCTTCTTAAAACCCTACAGTGTTGGAGCACCCACAACTTCTGGAGGCAACTTATTTCAGTTACTTTGTATTCAGATTTTCAGACAGTTGAGTCAGTGTCAACTTCTTTTGTTCTTAGAAAAGGCCTTTTAAAAATGTTAACACCAACAAATATAATACCTTATTGCAGTACAGAATATGGATATGAAACATATGCATGCAACAACCTTAACTGCACATATAAGGAGATATGCGAGAAACAGTACCTTGGTATTAGAATGATTTTGTTATTATAATTAGAATTATTTTGTTATTATAGAAATGGCTTTAAATGTTGAGATTGTATTTTTGTTTTGTATTTTGCTACACTGAAAAAAGTTGGACTTTTTTTTCTTTCTCTGCACTTTTTCTTTCTCTTATTTTTCTAACTTTTGTTTTTTCTGTATTTTTATTTTATAATGAAACTTAATAAACATTTTATAAATCCAAAAGAAGCAGTGTCTTGGTAACTCTTAGCACTGAAATGTTTTCTACCATGTTAACTGCAGCTACTGCTCAATTAGTGCACATATTTACATCTGCTTTATGCAAACTAAAAATAGAAGAATTTCCTTTTTGGGGGGAGAGGTTGGCATTCTGTAGGAAGAGAATTAAAACATCTTAATAAATTATGGAAATTAATGTTGTGCTATGTGGGATTCTGTAGGAATCAGAATGATCACTTTGATGAGATTTACCATATCAACAGTAACATGTAAACCAAACAATGAATAAAGAGCTATAATTTTTCTCTTTGTTCTTGCAATTTTAAGACATCTCTTCAGATCATGCAGGAGGTTCCATATGGACAATATAAGTTACTCTGCTTTGGAGACAACCTACACCTGGACTGGCTTCCTGAAGTTTACACCCCCAAATTTTTGAAAACATCAGTCTGAGGAAGCATGGCCAATGATCCAAGCTTGAGATATTAAAACTTAAAGAAGCCTGCATTATAGTGATTTGTAATAGTATAAGCCAGTGGTTCTCAACCTTTTTAATGCCGCGACCCCCAACCGGTCGTAAGTCGAGGACTAAACCGGTCGTAAGTCGAGGACTAAACCGGTTGTTAAGTCGAAGACTACCCAACCGGTCGTAAGTCGAGGACTTTCCCTGCCCGGGAGCGCCGCACATGCATGGTTCTGCCCCCTGCGCCGGCCGAGGCGTAGCTGGCAAGCGGCAGAGATGGAGCAGGCCGACCACCAGCTGGCCCAGCCCAAGGGAGGTAAGGCACCTGCCAGAAAAGGGGAAAAAAATGGCGGACAGCCTTGCTTGGCGACCCCCGTGAAATGGTCGATCGACCCCAAATGGGGTCGCGACCCATAGGTTGAGAACCGCTGGTATAAGCTGTTACCTGCATTCCTTTTCTTTTCCTCCATCTTTAGGAAGCAAACACTTACTAACATGTAACATTCACATTGGTAAAATAAAATAAAATGTTCTTACCTGTCCATTTTTCTCAAGTTCCATTTCAACTATTGCCACAGGACTATTCATCTGGTCAATGTGTCTTGACTGTGTTTTTAAATCTATTCTCCAGCTTATGTTTTTCAAGCTATTTTCCCACTTGCTTTGATTTATCAGACTCTCATGAATTTTTGCTCGCTGGTTCTTCCAAAATTTTGCAATAACTATAGCATGATCGGTTGTGATTCCCCCTGGTTTCTTTGTTTGTGCAGTCAGAAAAGCTTCTAGTTGATTTGAATCCATGTCAGCTGAAGCTATTGACTGAAACAAAATGACAGTTTTACAATCTGCAATTCTACTTTCTTTGATAAAGTACAATTCTCAAATTATACATTATCCACAATTCCTTATTCCTCCATCAAAACAAACCTAGACTGAATTATCCAATTCTCAAAATGAAAAGCAAGCATTTGTTCTCAGTTCAATGGGGATGGGGGGAGGAAATGAAGAAGACACAAATTTCACTATTGTGCATATTAAATACTTAATATATTGTAAGATACCTAGGCTCTGTATTTATACTGAGGTGAGGCCAGCACAAAATTTTATAATAAAAACACTAAGTTCTGACTCTTTAACTGTCTCCTACCTAGAACAGTAGAAAATGTGTTTCCCGGTTGACATTTAAGATCTTTAACGTTAGGGTAATAGGAAATTGAAAACAGCCCAAAAGAAAGCAACTGTAAATTAATTTTGTGCTATATGGTTGTTTGGATAGTAACCAGGAGCTAAGCTTGAGTGTGCTTTTACTTTGACTAATCCATAAATGTTTTCAAAGGATTGGCAAAATGACAATAGCTTTTAAAATAATTTTGGGCATTAAACTGACAAAACATAAAAAGTATCTTATTTAGAATAAAATATTTCCTGAGGATAAAATATAAACATTGCAGATAAACCAAATGGGTATAAATTAAAACTATAATGAGCATATAGTACTATATGGCATCTGGTGAAAAGCGTATAATAGAAAATAATTACTTGTAACAGATGTAATTGATGCATGCTTATAGTACTAGAAGCCATACTCTCTACATATGATTTCCTGGTCCATATAACCTGTAAAGTAATTATAGTATGAAGAAATCAGAAGTAGTACTGAACTGATTGGGGATAATGATGACATTTAGCATAAAGGTTACTGCAAAATTGCCAAGAATGATTAAAATAAGTGAAATCATACAACAATTGATTTGACTTCCCCACCAAAAAACCCTCCTAAAACCCTTTTAAAAATATGAGGCTAATGAAAAATGAGAGGATATATCTATCTATGGATAGTTATTATTTAAAAGTGCAATTAATAAAATGTCAACTAGAATATAACATGCAGATTTGTCAAGTCCAAGAAGATCCTAGTATGATTAATGTGCAAGGTCAAAGCAGTCAGAAGGGAAAAGAACTATTGCCCAAAATGAGAGAATTAAAAATAATACAAACACTGGCAAAATTAATACAAAATAAAAGATGCAGCAAAATATTTTTTAAAAAATATATTACCACTAAGTAGTCATATAAAGAACTTGGCTAATTAGACCAAGGAGTGAAAAGTATATAAACATAGTAGAAAGAGTATAAAAAAGCTGAACAAATTGCTTATCATTACAAACAAAAACAAAGGCAAAACTAGCCTGTTCTGGGAAGGAATTAAAAAAAGGAAATTAATAGAGATAAAACAAAATAAAGTACTATGCTTATCAACAGATTAACAAATTGCTAGGTATAGATGTCATGTACAAAGAGTTCCTGAAGAACTCAAAATATTAAATTACTGGTCTTCAATCAAATATGCTACTTATCTTTAAATTCAAATTCAAAACAACATGTAACTTTTTTTCCAGAGGAAATCAGGAAATAAAAAAACAATTTAGGGCCTATGGTGTTGATTAATCAGAGATTCATGTAAAAAGCTCTGAAAGGATATTCCCAAAGCAGGTCAGCAACAATAAAATGTTACAGATATATTATATAAATAAACAATAATTCATCACAGAAACTTCTAACTTTACCTAGCCACTGTGGACTAGCAACTTAATAAAAATGCCAATCCATTGGGCAGCAATTTCAGAAAAGCCCATGTGGAGCATTGGGATATTTGATAGCAAAGAAGAACATTACTTCAGCATATTCTTCCTTTCGTTCAATGCCCAACTTTATGTGGGAGTTTATCAGTGGTGGGTTTCAAATATGTGAACAACCAATTCTCTGTGTGGATGCCGCTTCCGGAGGTCCATTCTGGGCTTGGGCAACAAAAAACTAGCTACCGGTTCTGCTGAACTGATGCGAACAGGCTGAATTCCATCACTGGAGTTTATGTGCTATTGGTTTTGAATTTGAAAACCAATACCAAAATCCCCAATCAGCTATGAAGATTACGGAAACAAAATTAAATTCCATCTGACCTGTTTCCCAGGACTGCCACATCTATCTGAGATCTCCAGAAGTAGGATGAGATAGAAATGAACATTTAATTCATCTAAATTAGAGTTAATCGCAAGTTAACTACTGAAAATCTCTCTATCTTCCTTAAAGAAGAGAATTTAGTATTTCAATATATCATCCCTGAAATATACAGTAGGAGCCTTTAGCGGAACTTTCGGCCATAGTGGTAGAACTATTTTTCCTCTAATCCTGGAGCATGCTGCAAGAACCTGGGAATGGGGAAATAAAGTATTCGCCTTGACTCGGATATAAGGCTAGAATTATGGTGTAGTTAAGGCTACCAGAACTGGGTTCCAGAAATCTAGCTGATCTGTATACAGCAGCAAGGTTGGAATTTTGTATCTCTCTTTTCTGTCATCCAGATTTTTAGATTTTTCCAGCCCAAATCTGATTGTCCTAATAACCTACCTTCCTCTTCTGTTGTGTAAAAAAAAAAAGGAAGCAAGTATTATTTCTTTCCATTTTCTATATTTACAGGGGTCCTCAATCTTGGCAACTTTAAGCCTTGTGGACTTCAACTCCCAGAATTCCCCAGCCAGCTTTGCTGAATGAGGAATTCTGGGAGTTGAAGTCCACAAGGCTTAAAGTTGCCAAGGTTGAGGACCCATGTTTATTTATTTATTTATTTATTTATTGTTTATATTTATATCCCGCCCTTCTCCTTGCGGACTCAGGGCGGCTAACAACCAGATAAAAATACAAAATACCAAAGCTACAGATTAAAACTTGATTAAAAGACAAATATTAATAATTGGTCTAAGTAATTTAAAATTATTTTAAAACCCCCACTAAAAATTTTCCCCTAGGCCAGACATGATAAAGAAAATAAACATTGTTTTTTTTGTAAGACAGATTTTCTTGGCAAAAAAGAGAGGAAACCTGTGACAGTAAACTGGCAAATAGATAACCTGAATCCTAATTATTTTTTATTTTAGGAGAAGAATCATAAGACCATAAAACTAAGAAAAGCATTGTTTACTGCTATAAGAATAATTTTGTTATATTATACTTTCTTTGGTCCAATAACAGCCTTCTGATAAATGTCAGTAGAATATGAAAATTCCAAATGCCATTTCCATTACGAAAAAAAAATCTTAATTAATAAACACTTTACGTGAAGTGTTAATACCACTTTACAATGCTTTGGTAAGGCCACACTTGGAATACTGCATCCAGTTTTGGTCACCGCGATGTAAAAAAGATGTTGAGACTCTAGAAAGAGTACAGAGAAGAGCAACAAAGATGATTAGGGGACTGGAGGCTAAAGCATATAAGGAACGGTTGCTGGAATTGGGTATGTCTAGTTTAACGAACAGAAGGACGAGGGGGGGACATGATAGCAGTGTTCCAATATCTCAGGGGCTGCCACAAAGAAGAGGGAGTCAAGCTATTTTCCAAGGCGCCTGAAGGCAGGACAAGAAGCAACAGGTGGAAACTAAGCAAGGAGAGAAGCAACCTAGAACTAAGGAGAAACTTCCTGACAGTTAGAACAATTAACCAGTGGAACAACCTGCCTCCAGAAGCGGTGAATGCTCCAACACTGGAAGTTTCTAAGAAGAGACTGGACAGCCATTTGTCTGAAATGGTGTAGGGTTCCTGCCTGAGCAGGGGGTTGGACTAGATGACCTCCAAGGTCCCTTCCAACTTTACTACTACTACTACTACTACTACTACTACTACTACTACTACTACTACTACTACTACTACTATTATAAATGGCTTCCTATAGCCTAATAATTTTATTACAAAACAAAAATGGGCATAGTATCTGAAAACCAGAGAAAATATTTATCTACATTCATTGTGTTCCCTGAAAAACACAAATAACACATGTGTGTGACAATTTCAGGTGGAAAACTCCCATTGTTTCCAGAATAGATTATTACTTGTCAACAATAATAGTGGTGTTCTAAGAATGTTTTTTTTACCACAAGCCATCTAAGCTTTTTTCTTAGCAATTCTTCAAAGATGTAGAATAGATAGATCCATGCTGATCAGAAATAAATTGAAGTCAAAGGCTCAGAGAAACAGTACAATTCAACTGCATGTATTATGGTAATTGCTAACTTTCTGATTCTGTAACAGTCAAGAAAAAAAACTATTTATTTATTTATTAATATTTTAACTGGAAGTCTGCCAATGCAATCATCCCAGCCTGGTGCGCAGGCACTCTTCGGTGCTTTGTTACATGCCCTAGGACAGGGGTAGGCAACCTTGGCTCTTTTATGACTTGTGGACTTCAACTCCCAGAGTCATAAAAGAGCCAAGGTTGCCTACCCCTGCCCTAGGACATCACTGTTCTGTGAGCTGTGCTGGGTCTCACTGGGCTTCAGGGAACAATTCAAAGTGCTGGTTGGCACCCATAAGCCCTACCTAGTATGGTGCCAATTTACTTGCAAGACTATGTGTCCCAAGTCAGTTCTACTTGCTGCAGCAGAATTGGCAGTTAGCATACTCCAGATTCCTTCCATTAGGAATTGTCAGCTTGGGTGTCCTAAGAATTGTGCCTTCTCTGTCGCAGTGCCAAAGATCAGGATGCCCCCAACCCTTCTGACTTTTCACAAAGCACTGAAGATCTGGATGTTCCCTCAGACAGTAGGGCTGGGAGGTTAGATCAGTTTGGTTTGGTCTGTGTGGACTACGAATGGACTGTTTTGTATCTGGGTGTATGAAATTTTTGTTTGCTTATTATTTCAATCTATATAGTTTCTCATCTAAAATTCATGTTTCTGGATAGTTAATAATGTTAAAAGAAAACAGAACACCCCCCCTCCCCAAACCTTCACCCCAACACACAGAAATACCAGCTAGGGTAAAAA